TCTCTGTGGTCTTTCTTCTAGACCTTCCAGGAATGGAGACACATCATCATCATCATAGATTGTAAACTCCAAGTCTTTACCAACAATTCCAATGGAAACATTCTGAGGGGGAAAAAAAGGTAAAAATAAAAAATCAAGAATTTAGGTTAGAAAAATGCATATGAAAAAATATTGGCTGAAAGAAGCAGAATAAGAACTTATTTAAGTTCTTATAATAGAATATATTCTATATAGAATAAGTTTAACTTATTCTATTTAGCACTTGAATAAGGTTTTAAAAACTACTTATGTGTGGGGAAAAAGGGAGAAGGAAATTAGCAGACCTCTGTCATTTGCAGATTTAATATTCACTTTTGATTATCATGAGTAACCCCAAAGGTCTATGTCATCTAGAAACACTGTTTAAAAAAGATTATGCAGGCTATAAAGTCTTCACACAGATATTAATCATCTAATCACTATAAGAAAATGGCTTTATAATGCTGATTAATCTTACTTTATTTAATGATCATTAATCTCAAGTAGGCCTTTGTGGTTCCTGGATCATTCTATATCACTTCCTACGTCATTTGATCTCTGCTTCTTTTCAACAACTCCTTCTAACATTCTCCATTCTCCTTGCAGCTGAAAACCTTGTTCCTATTTCACTGAGAAACTGAAGCAATTGGAAGAAAACTTTCACAAGCTCCCATTGTATCCACTGTTTCCTATATCTATGTCCCTAGATGCTCTTCCTTCTCTTACTATGAATGAGTAGTCCAATTTCCTCTCTAAGGCCAATCCTTTCACCTTAGTTAAAGGACACTGTGCTAGCAGTTTTTCCCATATTTCTCCTACATAAATGCTTCCTTTACACTGGATTATTCTCTTTATCATGTAGCAAATATCATGCAATTTCTTCCATCTTAAAAAATAAAGCAACAAAAACCCCTCACTACATCCTCTTCCAGCTAGCTACCACTTCATTTCTCTGGAACCTCTACAGAAAATCTCCACTAAAGAGCTATCTCCAGTTCTGTTCTCATTCTTTCTTGATATCATTCCTATCAGGCTTTTGCCCCACCATTCCATTAAGACTGTCTTGTCAAGTCCTCCATGACAACATCATTGTAATCTAATGGTTAATTCTCAATCCACATCTTCCTGGATCTACTAGCAGTTTTTCATTCCCTCATCCTTGAAAGCTTCTCTTCATTTGCTTTCAAGGATGCCTCATTTACCAAGTTTTCCACCTACCTCTTTGGCCATCTTTCTCAGTCTCTTTTGCTGACACCTACTCGTTTCCCAACTGAAAAAACTTGGCCCAGTCCTCAAACCACTTGTCTAACTATTTGATTCCTTAGGAATCTCATCCAGTCCAGACTCCAAATGCCATTTCTACATAAATACTCCAAAATTTTAAAATCTAGGCTGGACCACTCTCCATGGAACTCCAAGGAGTGCCAATAACTGCTGACTTTGTATCACCGATTGGCCAAACAACAGGCATTTTAAATTTTACATGTTCAAAACTAACTGCCTGATTTTCCTCCCTAAATCCTACTCCAAAACCTTCCCCCTATCTTATCCATTTCAGTAAATCATAAATTTTTCCTTTTAGTTAATAAGGCCAAAAACCTTGGAGACATCCCCCCTCTCCCCCATCACATCCTACAGCAAATTTGTTAACAAACCTTTTTGGCTCTAATCTCAAAAGATATCCAAAACCGAACCACTTATCATCATCTCTAACTTCATCACTCTGCTCCAATCACCATCATCTCACCCCAATTACTGTAATAGCCTTGAAACTGTTTTCACTCATGCTCCACTATAATCTGTTGTCAAAATGCCAACCCGAGTGACTCTCTTAAAACCTAAACCAAATCATGTTATTTCTTTGCTCAAATTCATTAACAACCCACTCAGAGTAAAATGCAAAGTATCTGCAATGGCTTATACAGAATCTGGCTTCCATTACCTCTCTGGTTTCTTTCCTTGTCCTCTTCCCTTTGATTATTGACCCCAACACTTGCCTCCTTGCCTTGAATGCTGAGAACTTCTGATCTTAGAGCCTTTGCATTTGTATTCCCTAGAATAATCTTGCTGTAGACATCTGCATGGCTCATTCATCTCCTTTAGACCTTTTCCTGAAATTTCACTTTCTTGGTGAGGCCATCCTTTACCATCCCATTTTAGATTACACCTGCCACACTACCTACCTACATCCCAATTGGTTACTTTCTCCTCTTAACCTGTTTTATTTTTTACATAGCATTCATCACCTTCTAATATACTATATAATTTATTTATGTGTGTATTGTGTCTCCCCCCACTAGAATGTATGTTCCATGAAGGTCAAGATGTTTGCTGTGTCTACTATATTCTCAATGCCTAGAAAGTGCCTGCACATGGTAGATGCTCATCATATACATTTTTGTTAACTAAATTAACAATACAAAGGTATGCCTATCTGCTGAAAAAAAATGGACATTCTATATGAGACATATTTATTTTATTGCTTTATACCAAAATGAAATGTTTAAAAAATGACATTTCCTTAGTGAATAGCTTAAAGGGAGAGAATGAGCCCAAACAACCATATCCCACTCCTCTATTATTTACATTTATGTAATAAAGGATTAAACTGTAATGTTAATATCTATAATTGGAAAACATGATATTTACCTTTGTAGTTAGGTCCTGCTCTGCAGGAAGTGTCTCTCTTAAGGCACGCAGACCATGTTTAACCAGTTCATTTAAATTGCCTATACATAATAAATTAAGAATTATTTCTCAGTTTCATTGTCATGCTAGGCTTCTTTTATTTATCAAGTCTACAGTCTGAAATTGTAGTTTTAGTTACACACCAAACTTATGTCAATAAAAATAGCCAAAAGTTTATTGGCTGGAATCTCCCCTTCCCAAAGTTAAACCTAGTATTATCCTACAACAGTTTGCTTTGAGTAATATTAATAAGACAAGCATTTTCTCTGCATTCACCGAACCCCAAATATTTTCTCCATAAAATGCTATGTCACAAGAAAACAGATTAAGATGACAAAGAGAAATGTAGAAGACCAGATATTCATCCTCCTTCCAATGTGAAGCAAAGCATTTGAAAACCTGCCCTATCATCACATCTTACATCTTTTATGTTCCCTTTTTCCACAGCTACATTGCCTTTTAACTTGTTGCTTATGGACTACTTAATGCAGAAGTGTCTATGTGGCTTAAAATAAGAACAGAATCACAGAAAACTAAAAGCTGTAAGCAGAACTTATAATTGGCAGCTAATACAGTGGTCCTCCACCCTGGCTGAAACACACTTCAGACCAAATAAATCAAGAATTTTCAAGGTTGGGGATACATTTATATTTTGAAAGAGTTCTGCTGGAACTACTATGGTAACAAGAAGGAGTAAAAACTAGTAATTGACAGAAACAATAAACACTTCATGGGCTTTATTTTTAAAAACAACTCTTCTGTAAGGCTGATCGTTTTCTTCCTTTAGGATACTAACTATGCTTATTCACTATATAAAGATTGGAGGAGGCAGAAAACCAAACCAAAGAAACAACAAGGCATCACTTACACTCCATAAATTCAGACATATGTCTCTCCAAGTAAGTACGAGCTGACTGGGAACGGGCTCCAATGGACATAGCTCGGCAGTCGAAGTAGTTAGCAGATGGACAGGTTTGGAAAATGTGAGGGCCCATATC